GAAGCTTTCAGACCCGGCCTCGCCAGGGGGGGGGGGGGACTCGTAGTTATTCTCCTCACCCTCCTTTACGCCAACTGTCACCTCCCACCACCACACCTACTGTTAACTCGTTTATATTGCCCTTTTTAATATTATTTTGTTATTTTATTTTCTTGCAGACCCATGCCGTCTGCCCTTTTCCATCTCCAACCTCCAACACCCCGCCGGAGACTAGCCCCCCCGCCGGAGGGAAGACCACGCCCCCCCCCCCCCTTTCCCTCCCCAACCAACCAAGGCCACCCTACCGACAGCAATTCACCGGCTTCCCTTCCCCGGCCCCTCGTCCGGCCCCTCTTCGTAGCTTTCCGGGACTCATTTCCTGGGACGGAAGGCCTCCCCACCCACCTTCTAGAACAATTCCATCACCAGATCGTTGCACACCAACACGTGTTGGGCGGCAACCCAAAGCTTGCGCTTGCTATCAGTTAGTGTTCGCATCTCCGATGACTATAGATTGCGGTGCTTGGGGAGGTAGGTGTACGTAGTTGCGGCCCTAAGACTACCGCAGTACTCCGTAAGAAGCCAAGCTTTCAAGCGGGCTATCATCCCGAAAGCAGAGAGAGTCGTGCTCTTGAGGGGGAGTCATTTTGGAAAGACATTTAAACTTTCACGATCCTTGGCTGGCGTCGGCTCTTCACCCTCGACTCGACGTAGGCTCGCCGTTGCCCGAAACCGGTTGCGTCGAAGGATTCCAGTAGTATGGCTGGGAGAGGTCGTATCCACGACAGGACCTGTCATTCATCCTCCCAGTCCCTCGGGTTCAATTTGCCCATGGCTTTCTCCGGGGAAAGTTGACAATCCGCACGCGAGGGGGTCGGCGATGGTCGCCTACTGCACGGTAATTAGCCCTGCGAAATCCCGCGAGCTGCTGGCTAGCTAGCCCGCGTAAACGAACCGACAAATAGAAGCCTGTCAGAAGGCTCAGCTTGTCTCACTTTCCAGACGCACCAAGTCACGCCGACCCCTGATGCAGTACACCATCACCGTCGAGTAGATGTTGGTCGACGCGGGCGCGCGAGACAGAGCGCAACCTTCACTTCAATTTTTTTCTTTTTGCTCAGTAATACGGAACTTCCGTCGGTGTTTGCGCGACACAACCATGGAACAAGAGTGCAAGGAAAGAATACCAGACGTTTCGCAATCGCAGGAACAGTCTCCTATGCGCCGCATCTGGGAGCGTCGAAGGGAGCATGTGAAAAGCACTGGCCATTGGGAATTGGGACGCAGAGAGTAAGTGAAATACCTAGCATAATGTCATCGGTCGAGTCTCGTTATTCGGTGACTGCGGCGTTCATCCAATCCTGTGCGGGTCAATTGAATAGTGGTCTGGGTTTTGACTTGCGAATTCCAAGCAATGACACCCCCAGAGAGAAGGGGGAGGGGGTGATTGTGATTCATGACTAGAGGCATCGTTTCATTGCAGCGGGGGAGGCAAGCGTGAACTTTGTTATTTGCCTGCTTTTGTGACTGTCCATCCTACATTTCGAGAGCTTCTCCCCTCCTCGTGCTAGGCTGAGTGAAGCTCAGGGACGGGAAATATCATCCCAAGAAACACGAACCACGTCACCGGCGTTTAATTGTGCCTTGAGAGCTGGTGGTGTGAAGACGGGGGAATAACAACTCGGGGGAAACCTACACTCGAGAGGTGTGCATCCAGAAAAGAAAGAAACAAGGCGCTTGTGAATCAGCACTGAAAGATTGTCGAGTCAGAAATGGATGAAAATCTCACGGCAGGCAAGTTCCAAACTTGGATGGAAGCTTGAAATGTGCGATGGCCATGAGACCGCAAAGGCACCAAGAGGGAGAGAGGGTGGCCCTCAGGTCCCGCGCCGGTAGAGTGCTTCTCCGCGAGATCCACGTGTCAAGCTTCCCTTCCGTCCTCTAGTCCAACTCCAGCTCATCAAGAACCTTTCCGCCGAAACGCTCTCACCGAGGATGAGAGAGGACACACCCCCCAACGCCGCCGTCGTCATCCGGTCATTTGCACTCCGTTGCCCCGGGACAGCGTTCCCCGGACGTTGAATTATTTCGATGACCCTGCAGCGGAATGCCGGGGTACACTGGCGACGCGAACAAGCCATTCGAGTCAGAAGATCTAGACCGTTGGGATCTACTGGCTATTCCAGCTTATCCGTTCTTACTTGGCTATACAGATGCAGGTCCCGTGTACACACGGTTAGTGACGACAAGACAAGGAAAACGCGGTTTTCCCTCCCGGGCTTGACGTTCGACACGTCTCCAGTCCACGCCACGTTACTCGTCGATGTTCCGGGGAGCCAATGTTTAGTTTTCCGAGCTCCTGCAACCCGTCAATTCCGCTTCTTAGCTTCGTCCTCAGCAATGCGCGGATCGGATTCTCATCAGTCCATCTCGTATTCTGCCGATATTCAACTCTCCTGGACGACTTGGCTTCTAGGATGAGGAAGAGGAGCTAACATGAACCCTGTCATATCACACCGAGGCGACCACCACCCATCTCGGGAATTTCAGCGTTCGGGCTGAACCCTCAGCCTGATGTTGCTTATTACCCCAGACTTTTTTTTAAACGCCCCGGCATCCGAGACAAATGAAACCATCTTCTTCGGCAGTGAGGCGCGGCAGTAAAGAGCGGCAATGAGATCTTTTCGGCACCGTCGAGTGCTAGACGTGCTGTCAGGCCAGTGGTGGTCTGTCATTGCTAACTTGATCCGGCATAGAGATCGCTGGAAGAAACACACTTCTCTGCTATCCGCGTTTGGAGGTTCGACGATGCAAATGGTGCCTCTGTTCCTGGTTGGTTCGGGTGGATTTGGTATGGATGCTCAACTGAGTTTTGGCAGTGATCACGCGAGCGCTCTTTGCTTGCCACTGATGTCGCTGTATTCCAAAGGCATGGCAGCTACTGGGATGGTGTTGCTGGAATTCAGGGATTTCGGATGGAAGTTTGTCATCACGATGCTGACGACTAAAAAAAGACAACATTTGGTGCAGCTGGTTGCAGGCATGATATCGACTTGCCAGCTCATGATATAGATACCGAGATCATATGATGTGAGTTGCCACTGATAAAAAAAAATACAAATAAAAAACTTTTTTAAAAAAAAAAAACTTGCAGATCTAATAATGACGATTGACGCTTGAGATTTTCAATAACGATGGGTGAATTAGAAATGACGGAGGTATGCTGCAAGATGGCAAGCCAGTCACATCCGAATGGCAGGTGCCGTCTCTCTCCCGGCTGTGGAGCAAAGACCCGGGACACGCCCGAATCTCCGGTCTCCATCCGGCATGACGCCCGCCACTTCCTCCGACTTCAGAAGCATGATACATTACTAAGGCTTCATATCAAGTCAAAAGTCGATAATGGACAATGGGTAGGACATCAAACAATTTATCTTTCTCATCTCAAGGTCGGCGAGCAATGGAATACCAAGCTGGAGCCTCTTAAAACTCTCTTCATTGCAAAAACTCGGGAGTCGTACAGAATTGATTCTGTTCGCAGAAATTGCGCTTACGGCTTGAGTGGCATCCAGACACGGCAAGAATAAGAGGACTGCAAGGTCGAATCATTCACAACTTTGTTGCGATTCACCGATACTGTGTCAAGATTTGGAGATTGAAGCCACAGTGAGTGACTCTGGCCTAATTGTCGGCCATTTTCGTTGGTTTGCATCTTTTCGTAGAGTCAAAACAGCGTGAAGGAGCTCTTGTCTCTTTTATAAGCCCAACAAGCTTTTCTCATTCTTTTCTTTTATGATTCTACCTGCTTCCTATCAGATAGCACATAGATCCCGAATGCCTTTACTTGCCCATGCTATACTGGTATATTGAGCTGAACTTTGAGAGTCGAGATGCTAGACAGATGTGACCTACTTCCAGACCCGTAATCGCACGTATGCATGGTGGAACTGGACCCTACGAGACGGTCAACGCCAGGCAGGCAGTCAAAGACAAGGGGCAGGGGAGATGGGACAGAGTGCCAAAGGCATGGCTTCAGAAGTTCAGTCTGGGGGGAGAGGGAGGGGGTGAGAAGCGAGTAGCCGCGGAACCTACAACCCTGAAGTGAGCCACGCGACATGTGCGCATCAGGCCTTTGACAATCCTGCTAAACGTTGATCCGTTGTGAGAGTGTTCGCAGCTAGGTTACACCGTTACAGGCTTATCCGTACTCCCTACAGCATGTCTTCCGACCGTGCCAGAGCGTGCTTTCGGGGCATCGATAGGGTGACATTCCTGACGAACATCTCACGCCACAAAACAGCAGGCCATTTGCCAACGCTGCGTCGCGCTCGTCGATGAAGCAGAGTCTAAGAGATCGCTATTTCTCGCTAGATAGTCCATCAGAGTCTCTCAATGTCACTTCGCGATCGCAGTCGGCTCCGCGCCGTGTCTTACTATACCCCAAGCGCTGCTTCCCCCCGACCGATAGCAATATCCGACATTGAAAGATATGAAACCTCCCCTCTTTCCATCCCATGTTGGTCATCTAGGGGGCGGCCAGCCTCGCCAGACAGAGTTTACAGGCTTCGTCACTTGACCGGTTCCCTTTCGCCGAAAACGACCTTTGGCCCGTCCAGTCTTGTCCCTCTCCGCGGGGAAGAGCAGATGAGCCGAGGACGGTGTATCTGGGGGGACGGAAGATGGGGGAAGACAAAGAGAGGCAACACGCTGGTCCGCTGCTCCAGGCTTCAGGCTTCAGGCTTCAGGCGTCAGTCTATGCCCGGCCGGCTGGGGCAGGTCGATGCGGCGCTCGACCACAGAAGAAAACGGCGCCCTAGGGTATGGACGGATGGAATCATGGATGGCAGCGACGTCTGGTGTGCTGACCACCTGAGTAGGAGAGAGTGGCGTGGACGCAGCATCAACGCTTTGATGGACGCGGAACCCTTCTCTGTCAAAGCAGAACGTCGCTGGGCCTCCGGATGACAATTCGAACTGGTGTGTGTCTGCCCTTCAACCACATAGTCCTCTTTACAAGAGTCATGGGGGTGTATTCCAGGCGTCCAGCACTGCACCGTCGCCACGTCTGTTTGGTTTTCGGTCTGATCTCTGTGATCTCGGGGCCCCGGGGAACGGCGGGTCGACTTCCAGGTCCCGTCCCTTTTCACCATTTTCCGCCTATCTGTACGCATTGTGACCTTGCGGTTGGATGTACCACTTCGTCGCTTGACCCTTATTTTCTATTTCTTATTTTCCTTCAATTATTTGTCTTCGTCCGTTTCCATGTTGCCCTCCGTTATCTTGGAATCGCTATCGGCAACGTCATTCTGCAAAGTTGTGGTTTCCGTTCGTTCACCTACCAGAATCCCGGTAGTTCGGTCCACAACCTCAAGTGCGCTGCATGGTACACAACAGTGTGTTCTCCATACGCGCACTCTTGTTGGTGGAATCCCCATCTGCTGCAGAAACCCCAGATGTCTTGCTTGTCATCATATCGCAACTTCAAATCCCCGATGCCATCCGTGACTCCTAATTCAGTTATGGGAAACTGAGCGACAAGCCAAAACCGATAACGGACGGAAGAGCTACGAGTCAAGAGACGGTCCCTCCTCACGGACGTGCGAGCAAACGGAAATCCAAATAATAAAATGATAAAATAACATCAAATAAAAATACGTGGAGGTAATACTCCAAAATTCAAAAATATTCCAACAGCGGCTTCCAGAACACCGCGCACGTCCTCTCTCATTTCAACAAGGGGCTGGCCTGTCACAGAAACCTCTTGCCATTACCCCCAGAGAGAGCCAATCTCCCTGCCACGTTTTTTTATTTTCTCCCCTTTTGAACGCCCTCTCGACTCAAGCGGAGAATCTCCGCGGTAAAGAGAGAGACCAGAGACAAGGCCGAACCCCCCCCCCCTCCTTGTTTGACGGCCCCAGCATCGTGGTAGCGACCACCCGGGTACGGAACCGCGTCCCGGAGCCAGGTTCATCCCAGTTCTTCATTGCGAGCCAGCTCCATGACTCGCAGATTGCCGGTCGTCGAGGACTTGCACTTTGAGAAGCCCCCCTTGTGAACCAGTGAATGACGGAACTTTGATCTCCCATTGGGGAAGTCAGTACCGGCCGGCCCTTCTTTTGTAACCTCTATTGAACTACATGTACGTAAACGTATCGTCTTTGTAGGTTGCAAATGCTGCTTTTGGTGGTTGCGCTCAGATTGGAAGAGTCATACTACACGATACAAGGCTACAGTCTATCAGTCAGCCGGTAGTTTGGAGCGACCCCGGAAGAATCAACTAATCTGTCTCCATCCATTGCCACAGGACGACAGGCCCCCTAAAGGTGAGGCGATTCAGATAGTAGCCTCGCCGTGGCTTTAGAGTATCCGTAGAGGAGGTCTGGAAGGCGTATCAATGGAACGTGCACCGACGACGCACTGATTTCTCAAGATATGAACATGACTCTCTCCCCTCCAGGCTCTTCGCGTCTTACACTCAAAGAAACTTCGGGGGCCAGAAGACTTGCGCGGCCCGCTGTGGTCGCCCAGGGAAGGGGGTGCCAGATTTTGGGACGATCGGAGGGGCCTTTATGGAGTCTGGAGACGGGGGGGCTTGGGCTCTTTCTTTCAAACCGTGGCTATTGCGTAAGGCCTCACCGAGATTCGAGACATGGGGGCCTATTTCAATTTTTTTATTTTCTCACTGTGATGTTCACGATGTTTTTGATTCAATGAACGGTGGGGGGGAAGCTCGCAGAGTTTTTGGTTCACGTACAAATTTTGATAGTGGAGTTTTTGGAGTTGGATGACAGGTCGAAATAGCACGAACATGTCGGATCCGTACCTTGCATGGAAACTACGGCGTTACGACGGCAAAATTAGGCACCTTCCGAGACCTCCGTACGTCGCGTGGGTTCATGTTCCTTTCGGAGCCTCTCCGATGCGGACGGGGGGTTCGACTGACCATACGCGGCTCTCGAATTTGTCACCGATAACAGCAGCACCACTGTTGAAAGAGGAAAACTCTTCGAGTCGGGCGGCTGCCGCTTCCCGTTTGGAATGTGTAGCGCGAAGTGCAGACAGCTGAGTCTGCTTTTGGGATCCGGGAGTAGCATCGAGACTACATCATCAAGTTCACGCCACTCTCATGTACGTACACATGGCCACCAAGACCGCGCTGCCTACCCTTCGCTATCCTATGGCTCTTAGCAGCCTTGCCTGACCCTACAGGTCGGAGAAAGGGTCGGTAGCACTGCGGCTCCTTTGCGGGCTGGAAAAAGGGCACATGGCACGACTTGTCCGGGCCTATGGTTCGCCCCAATCCTAGTGCATTTACGACTGCAATATGGGGATGCGCTTGGGGTTGACCGTCCCGGTCACGAGGTCATAAGGTGTGGAGGAGGTGAAGAACGAATTCGGCCGATTTCACAGCGAGAAAGGGGATCAGTCTGGACTTTGGAGACGAGTGTTGTCGGGCAGTCCTTGTTTGACTGACTCCTTCCCTCCCAAGAAACTGGGATTGTTGTTATCGAGCCCGAGTTGATGACGGGGGAGTGCTGTTCATCAGGCGTCGAAAATGGTAGGGGGAGAGGGGTGCGCCGTTATTCTTTGCGGAGAGAGAAGGGTGAGAACGGTTTTGGGTTCTTGAAGGGGCACACTTGTCAGCCTCAAAAATAAATACAATGTATGGATAATTCGTAAAAAGCAGCCACATGATATGGCTGCAACCCCAGGACCGGCAGGCAATTGTGATCCTTGATTACTTTGCCAAACTTTGGCCAAGCTTGGCCCCCCCTCTTCCCCGTATCCGTTGCTGCGGTAGAAGCGAGCTGTCATGCTCATCTTCAGCGGCTCTTGCAAGCCTTTTGTGGGGTAACTTTGCCAGAAGGTATGGGGCCATAGCCGACATCCTGAGGGAATTCGTTGGGTCATTTACGGCGTTGCTTGGTACCTTTCCAGGCTGAATAAAGACTGTCGGCTCTTTGGATGGTTTCCCGGGATGAGAATGTAGAGTTGACTAGTGCAAGTTGGTCCTTCAAAGAGCCTTGCAACCTACCTAGTCAACATCATCTGGTCGACGGACGCAATGGCGGCAGTGGGAAGAGCACACCACACGCAGGTAGATTGGAAAGCAGAGCCTCAGCCACCACTAATCATCACGTTTGAAAATCATGCAAGACTTTAAAGAGGGAAGCTGGAGCCACCGGTCCAGACCCCGGGGCCCTCGCCGCATGAAGCACCTCCTCCTCGTCGAACGCGTACCTGCATGCGCATGACGAAAGTCGCGCGATACAAAAGGGTGGAGGGCGGACGTGAAGGAGGGGGGTGCTCTGCAGTGGAGTCATGTTTTCCGTCGTCCCAAGTTGAGAGCATCACAGGATATACGTAAGACCCGGGGAAATACGGGTTGCTGGGAGCGCATAGAGTTGGAGGGGACCCGGCGAGTCACCTGCAACTTACTTTTAATCCCAAGTTATTCCAACCGAGAGTTCGTCGGTGTATGGCTCGTAGAAATCTCGCATTAATAGATTCGGATGAGAGGCCCGGCTGGGAGGAGGGTGGAAATCGTGATCTGAAGGAAGATTCAGAGAGGGAGGGGGGATGTTGAGCGAGGTTCTGGGGACCCCATGACAGAAGCTCTGTATTCGGGACGGACTTGACCTTATTTTTGGCTCTTTGGCTCTTATACGAACACGTCTTTTTCATATTATAGAGGTTGCAGAGGACCCTGCGGGCTTAGGTTGCTGATTCATTGCACAGGAAGCTTGGGGCAACTTCACATGTCGAAGATCAACAGCTTCCTGCTGCTTTCCCTACTGCAGGACTTGCGACGTTGATTGTTTGTTTGAGGAGTCGGGAAAGGTATTTCACATGCAATCCCTTGACACGTACAAGTCAACTCGATGATGGCATTATTGGGCGGTCACAAACTTAGGATATTGATGAAGCGGGATTTAGCCAATCGACTCATGATATCGATTGCCGCAAGAAGACTCAAGCGGCGAGCAGCAGGTCTGGGATCTGTATGCCTCATATCACGACATGGTCGGCTTGAGTCGCGCATACGAAGGGCGTGTGTTCCTGAGCCTCTAAATTAACTTGGCGAATCTGGGGTATGGGGGAAAAAAGCCTGGGGCAAACAGCCAAGCGCACCAGGACGAGTTCGTAGCTTACGTTTACACAAGCACGGCAATGACTTATTGATACCACACAATACAGCTAAGAGCAGGTCAGACAAGCTAACGGTAGGTAGTGGAAAGTCAGACTATTCAAATTTGAGACGGACCTCAGAGTCATTGAAATCCTTCACCATTGCCGCCAACGAGGGACTCAACGATGAGACCGTTGAAGGGTTCGCCAGATCGACCAGACACATGGTCACATCTAGGTGACAACCAAGAATCCGGGGAGACATTGCCGGTCAGCGCGACTGAGCCGCACGGCATGGCGGCCAGATCGTCCGCCGTCCGCGCCGTCCAACCAAGGCACATACTCGCGAAGTCCTAGATTGACAAGTTCGCGCCCTCCCGGGGGAGAGGCAAGGAGTTGTAGGGTGGGTTCTCGGAGAGGCTGCCGACGCAAGCCGGAGCGCGAATCAATCTTACACGCGCCGGAACCCCGGGGCAGCTACCCCGAGGACCTGGTGATGCGCCGGAAGAACGTCAGAGCGTCAGACCGGTGCTGATTTCTTCCCTTCGCCCAAATGAAGTAGAAGAATGTCTCGCGTGGCTTGTAAAGTATGTGGTGACGATATTGTATCTCATTCGCTATTAGGCGTTCGCGCTATTGTAGCTCCTGTGACCGGTGCCATTTCGACACTAGGGGAAGAACTTCCCGGTGGTAAGGCGGACTAGTCGTGCAATCTAGGCTCGAGGCCAAATCTTTGCGTTCGTCTTTGATCTTCATCGCATGGTGCTAAAGAGTTGCTGCTAATGTGAGTCGAGTTTGAGTACGTGATGAGAACTGCTAACTAGGAAAACATGGGAAAGGTTCCCCGGGGAGCTGTGTTGGGGCTAAGAGGCGAGCTATCAGATCTCTATTTCCCTCGCGGGCGAGCTTCCGGGCGCTGAAAGTCAAAATGCGAACCCACGAACTAGAACGGCTCACTAAGGATGCTGATGATGAACGTTGGTGCCCCGTTGCTTCAGGAAGAGACATGCCACACAAAGGGGACGTTTTCAGGCCTAATCCGGTCTGTAATGTTAAGTCAACCGCGAAGATCACATTGAGGTTTGTTGACCGAAATGGAGTCTTTCGTTATATCCGCCCCTTGCTCACCGGTGAGCGGTCTACTGTAGTGTCATCACATGTTTGCCAAAAAGCTGCTTGCGTCTTGCCAAAGTCCCAAAGTCTCCGGCCCTGTCCCTTTCCATCCACAGGACTTCCCCGCAGATTCTCACATCCAGCCGAGCCTTTCACGTCGCGCCAGTTCTCTCTCTCTCTCCCTACCGAACTTGCATGGCGCGTCCTCCCAAGTTTGCCTCCCTAGTCTGTTCCTACAAGGGGCACAAGGGGCCATCATAGGGGGGCCGGGGACATTGCAGAAGGATTC